CAAAAGTCTGTTGTAATCACATTCTGAGCCAGACTGTGTATTTTGTATATGTGTTATGAACATTACAACTTTTGATAACTTTTATACGAGACAATAATTTCTAATCATAGATGATGTATCAATTTGACCCATTACATCGTGGGCGGCCAGTATGTCGGAGTAATTTCTGAATCATTTATCTGTGAAGCATTGTAATTGAAACATGCAATATTTGTTAATCGCTTTATTCATTTCGTTTTATACAAGTTCAATAATACTGTATTCTGACTTATACATTATTGCAAAATACGGATTCTGAAGTGAGACGACGACATGAATGCGAACGTGGTAGAAACCACCGCAGTGTGTTCTTTTGTTTAAATTTGTATATTCATCCAATTAGAAGTTTTCCCACTAATTTTCTTACACGGTCAAGAGTTTATCGATGTATATCAAGGGCATACTGCCAATTCTGTATCATTCTTACAATTTGTGTTATATCGTTGATATCGAGTTGAAAGTCTCCGGATTTCCAGCGGATTTTCCGTTAGTGAATAAATTCTGAGTTTTCATTAAGTCGTTCTTCTGTGGTGATTGGTGCTGATTGTGTAGCAGATAATTTTGCATACTATATTTCGTTACATTTCCATAACCGCAACGTATCGCGCCCCACACATGTACCGGCATGTACTACCGGTATATGAATATATATAAATTTAGCATTGGAATTCCAGTTGTTACTATTTGACACCACATTTGAATTGAAATACTGACATTTTAAATACTGTATTATCTAACAAACTCACCTATCTGTTGTCACAGTTGAATGATAGTCTGCATCACATAACCTATGGTACATATAGTGCATGTTTTAATATCCGAAAAAAATGCGGATCAGTACCCCCTGGAATGGCAAGTGCAAGTTTTATATACAATTTTTCAATTTACCATAAATACGGATGATGGAAAGATCGTAGTTGTGTGTTTTTTTTGAAAAAAAAAATAAATGATATTTTCGACAATTCTCAAATAAGCGAAACCATTTTTTTATTTAAACTGTTGGGAAAATAAAACATACCAAATGCACATTATTTTAATAAAAACAATTAACAGTAAGTCATGAATGACATAGTCCTCGTCCATCTATCAACCTCGCCAGGTATGTCCTTGCTTTGAAGATTACATTCATAAACTCAAAATTACCCGTGACGTTGTTTTCTTAATAATTTCTTTGACTTGCCAACATAATTCATGTATTTTTCCATTCATTAGCAGGACCAAGTTTTGTTTTGCTAACACCGCCAAGTAAAAGGATCATTCTTATATTTTACAAAGGACATTTCTTTAAAACAGTAGGGTATATTATTTAAAGAGTTTTGACTATATACAGTTGTAAATAAACTGTTGTAAATACAAAGCAATATTTTCCGAAAAAGTTGTAATTCCAGATTCTTCAAAGTAGTAATAATCTTCAGTGTAATAGTAACAATAATTGTGGAGTAACAATTATCAGAGATTTTATTGTAATAAACAAACAATATTTTATATCTTTGATAGTACGATGCTTGAATTATACATATCTTCACAGGGCAAAGGGATTAACATAAACATGCATAAAGGGCTGTTGCCTGCTAAAAAAGTTGAAAACGAAATGCAGTATTGACTTTTCAATAAACACAGAACCAATGGCTGGCAATACATAATATCGTATTTGCTCTATTGGAAGCGCCCGCTGTAAATGCATTAATTGTTCACTGGGTTTTAATTTCGCTATTTTCGCTGATAAATAAAATACGCTAAATTAAATCTACATGAACATGTAAAATAACAATAAAACTCACCGTTTCCTTGACAAATTTGTGAAATTAAAACGCAGTGAATATGCTCAAAACATCAAAATAGTTAAATTAAATGTCAATGAAAATAAATGGTTTTACAGTATAAACTGTAAAAATATGATTATGATCGTAAAACACTTATGTAATTTGCACATGCGCTACTAATAGAGCAAATACAGTATACTGATATATACTTACTCCAACAGTCTAAACAACATTATTTTATTTATATACTAGTACAAATTTGAACCAGTACTTTTCGATCGCTTTACCGTGACATCTTTGCACGCCTTTTCAACACTTTCATCAAAATTAGTTTACTATAGTTATATTTAAACACAAAATGTTCAAAATCACAGCTATTACCGCTTTAATGCAGAAATAATTTTAGTTGTAAATGTTGACCATATTAACTCTCCCTTTAGAGCATTATGTTCTATTCAGCTATCGGTCATATTGTACTTATAGGAGGTTTTTTGTATTGTCTAAATTGTTATTGTCATTAACGTGTAATGCACGTAATGCTACATGCAAAGTCGAGAATGTTACTTGAAAAGTACTTAAAACTACGTAAGTAAAGTTACGTTACACGCCTGGGATTACGTGCAGAATTGGTAAATTTACGTGCAGCGTGCGCATTACTGCATGCAAAGTCGAGAACGTTGCCTGAATACTTATCGTAGTTCGTGTAAAGTAAGAACGTATACGTATGAGATATATCCACACTTACGTGCTTGTTACCACAACGAATGAATACTGTTATGTTCGCTATCAAAATTAAAGTAAAACATACCAAATTACATATGCAAATTGTTTATTTAAATCCACAGACAATTAGAATGTTGTTTTCTCATCAAAATTATGCAATTTTCAGTCAAAATAATATATTTTTCGCTCATTCTTAACCATATATTGCAACAAGCATTAATGTTATTCAAATTAAAACTGGGAAAAAGGTAGATACATAATAGATAGACTGTGTGACAAGTCTCAACAGGAACGTCACCGGATAATTTCCACGTAATGCCGCATGAGGGCGTTTACATGCTATAACAGTCTCTCTGGCTTTACGGCCCTCGCTTGAAATATGCCTTCGGCATTTCGTTATAACGCCTACGCCGTTTGAAAATAAGTGACTCTTTATTAGATCCGAGAACTGTCGACAATCTACATAATAGATTACATACGCACAAATAGTTTGATAACAGTACATACACATTGAATGCGTGATATTTTTAAATAATCAATGCCCCCCTTATACACTGAAGTTAACAAAGACATGTACATTATAATTTCAAGACTTAAACGGCTCTTTTAGTGACGTGATTGTTCTAACGCGTTCCAATTTACATGTGGGCACTATATGCGGAGTCGCCGAGCCAGTCCAATCGTCTCATTTGGATTTAAATTTGAATGATTTCGAAAGAAAACAATTGGGTTTATACATTTCAACATGCCTTTGCTAACGTATGTTATTTATTATGTGTAATGTATATAATATTTCATTTCTAATTTCTCAGAATAATACGTAATATTGTCACAATACAAACTATGGGCTAACAATGATTCCCTTTTTACTGTTTTGTAGATAAAAAAAATGATATCTATGTTACAAGTGAGTTGGATTTGTTCACTAAAATGCGTTCTCAGTAAGTATGCTTCTTCTTTCTTCTTCCGTCGTATTTTCTGAGTACACCTTTATTTTGGATATCACGTGTTATCCATAAAAATAATAATATCCGTATTTAATTCAAACTATAAATATCTATAGGTGGTAATAGATTATATGATAATCTTTTCGCCAGATGAATCGTCTTTTCATATTCTCGCAGTTACGCAGCTTTCAATGTTATATACGTCACTTCCGGTGTTGACGCCAATCTCATCGGCATTCCCCAGTAGTATGTCCCTGATGAAACGTATACGTAGCTATTATCACTGTGTTGGTACAAACCAGCAAAGTATGGATTCATTAGATACACTCCTAACATAAAAGGTAAAATATGACCAGCATGGGTATGACCTGTGAATAATGAAAAACTAATGCTGGTTATAAATAAACACATTGCATTGTGATGAAGTCAGGTTTGACTGAGTGAAACGT